GGAAACAACCCGCCATCCGCGTCAACTCCGGTTGCAACAAGCAAAACGCCTTTGTATTTACCATATAAGTGAGTTCCATCAATGCTAAGAAGAGGACGGCAATATCGAAACCCCTCAATACAGGGCCCAAATGCCCAAAATACACCGGTGAACCGCCGTTCTCCGCCATCAACGGGGTCCGAAGATACTTCGTAGACAGTCCCCGGATTTTCTCTTTTGAGTGCTTCAAGATAATGAGGTAAGATCTCATACGATTTATCCCAATCCCCGAATATTTTTATCATCGCCTTCCTCCTAGCATTCCAACACTTGTGATATGATACATCCAAGTTGGTGGCTTTATGCACTAAAAGACGGATATCTTTCGGCCTTAGATCAAGATCCTCCCTCAGATGCGGTAAAATCAATCGATATATAAAAGAAGAGGACGCATTCTTGTTATTCATCTCTAATCGAGGATTGCTACAAGTGTGGAGTCCATTGTATGCCGTGATTTTGAATTGCCCACCTACTCTTGAACCCGAGCGTGAATTAAGCTTCCACGGACACCTCGCATTGCCGTCGTGGTGTCCACTATTATCTTCGACATCGTCATCTTTGCGATAGAAACAAACCACATTATAGCTTGTAGTATTATTTTTGGTTGGCCTGAACTTCACATTTTTTGCAATGGAATACGTGCGAATAGCATGGATCAATTTCTCCTTACTCTCGTAAAGATCTCCCTTGATGAATGAGAAGTCCTCGGCCTGTGTATCAACACCGCTATTAGTGCCAATAGGAACACTTTCCATCGCGGAGTTATCAATCCATTCATCTCCTTGAAGTTCATCGGGCGGCGGATCCTCTAAGCCGACATACTCATTATTAACATAAGCCCCGTCGATGTGTTGGATTTCCCCGTCATCACGATCTATCACGGTCATGCTATTAATTTGTAATCCCTCCTCTTCATCATCATTCTCGGATTCAACACTTGCATTATCTTCTTGAATTCCCGTGTTAGTATCGAAAGCATTCGAAGTGCCCACGAACGAAGGACCGCTCATGTATTGTGATTGTGTCCAACATTCATCTTGTTGAGGAGATAAAAAGCCTACAGAATCAACTTCAGGATCCTCCAACATGCGGGAATACATTCCTTCGTAGTTCAACGATTTGCCCAAATCTCTCTGATGTTTTTCAATGAACAATTCGACCGAACGCTTCTCGTCGTGTAAGACATGAATGAGACCCATATCGTAGTCACTTGATATTTGAATGCCACTTGTTCTGTTCTCCACAACAGGATAATTGCAAACCACACTGAGGTGATACTCACGTGAGTTAGTTAATGTAAGTTTGTGTAATTCATTAACCAACTCATCGAAAGTACACGATTTTGTTATGAACAACGGTCTCGTCGTGCCTCCTTCATAAACGGGCATATTATTCTCGAGGTAATTAATCTTCCCATCATAAGAACAGAGAATTACAATTCGATCATTCATCGTTACCTCTGAAGAGTGAAAAATTCAATATCAATATTACACGAAAAGCCAAATAAATATTGATTGTTACTAATTTTTACATTTAGGTAGTAACTCTAATTTCCACATTAATTGATAATTTCACCTCTAAATACGCAAAATTATTTAATACGTCTTCACAAAATTCGTAAATAATTCACAATTAAATTCTAAAATCTAATTTATATCATACATATGCAAAAATCTAAAATCTAATTTTTCTTCACAAAATCTAAATAATTCACAATTAAATTCTAAACTCTAAATACAATAATTTTCGAAATTATTGATAATTTCCCCTCTAATTTCACAAAATTATTGATAAATTACACACTAATTCTTCACAAATTTCACAAAAATTATTGATAATTTCCCCATTGATAATTTTCCCTCTATTTTTCACATTTATTGATAATTTTCCCTCTAATTTTCACATTTATTGATAATTTCCCATCTACTTTTCACATTTCTTCATAAAATTCATAAACAATTCATAATTAAATTTTAAAATCTAGATTCTTACATGTAATCACAATCAAATAGTGGGAGTATACAACAATTAGAGAGTATAGCTTTTTTTTGAACTGCAACTTCACGGGAGTTCAACTCCCGTGAAGTTGCAGTCCCAATTTCCCAGAGAACCGAGATCGGTTCTCTGGGAATGTTTGACTGTAACTCCACGGGAGTTGAACTCCCGTGGAGTTTTAAGCACAAATTAAGCTTCACGGGAGTTCAACTCCCGTGAAGTTTAATTTCTCGATAAACTTCACGGGAGTTGAACTCCCGTGATGTTTCGGAGACTTTTTTACAAAAACCGACCTGTTTTCAGCGCTGGGCTGAAAACAGGTCGGTTTTTGTAATTATTTTCAAAATAGGTCGTTTTTTGCAAATAAAATGCTAAAAGGGTTGGTTTTGAAAATTTGTCCAATTTATGGTAAGAAAATTTGACAATCAGCGAAAATGAATCTCAAGATATTGATCTGAAGCCATCTTTAGTTATTTTAAAATCCTAAGTTTACTTTTATACCTTACCAAGAAAAAGCTCGTGGATTGTGAACTAACAGCGTCTATATCTAGTTAACACTATTCTTAAAAATAGTGCTAATCATTAACAGCGAAAATCGTTATTAATTTTACAAATCTTATGGCACATTAGGATTGTAGAAAAAATTGAATACATGTGCTGGGCATTGAAAATAATGAACTAATTTAATTCCATAATTTGCATGTCTCCCTTGAGAGTTAGTGAATACATGTGCTGTGACTCGAAAGCATTCATTATGTGTGTTTGCGCGGTGACATACGTCATTGCTCATGCGGACAGAATGACTTTTTGTGTAAAGTCAGAAGTTTGACACCCGAGTTATTTAATCGGTAGAGAGTTGAGGTAAATAAACCGAACAAAGGCAACAAATCTATCGATATATTTATTGATGTGTTGTTTTAGATTTACTAATATGCTGGAGGCAATCAAAATAGAAAATAATTTGAATTGATATGTTGTTTTAGATTTACTAATATGCTGGAGTCGATCAAAATAGAAAATAATTTACAGCTGACAGCTTCAGTACCTCAATAAATAGAATGTGGAGTACTGATGACATGTGTTGTAAATATTTCCCAGATTAATCACACACTGCGTTATTGTTATTTTTTCAACTTTCAGGGGTAATTTCATGTTGGTGTGGCTCCCGAGGACGTAGGAACGTTTGCCGAACCTCGTTAAATCTGGTGTTCTCTGGTTTAATTATTCTTTTCTGTAAGTTTTTCTTTTATTTGCTGTGATTTTCTGCTTGTCTACTTTCGGCACAAGATCCGAAAAGGCACGGGTTGTGTGTTCAACCCTAACATTTCAAACAAAGGAGCATAGTCACTTTAATATATTTTAGTTAACTTTATCATGTGTTCCCTCTTATGCCCGGAGAGATTTAACTTTTTTTCCCCTAAGTTTGTATCTTTGCATTTGGATTTGGTTATCTATGAGCTTGAAGTTTGGGGTTAATGTTGAGTTGTACGTCTATATGCAAAGTCCTTTTGCAGTAGAATATGAACTGTTATTGCTACGAGAACTAATACTGGATAAGAATTGCTAGCAAAATAATAATTTGGGTAAATTTCACATACCCCCTGAACGGCTGAACTATAGGGGGTGTTGCACGTAACCCCTTTCAACTTTGCCCCCACCCCCACGCCACCCCCACCCCCACCACTTATTAACTAGTTCATGGGGGGTTACAATTGCAACCAACTACTTTGATCTAAATGTAATGAATTTTTGACCAAAATTCAAAAAATATCCTTAAAAATACATGTATCAAGCATGTGGCATGCCTTCTTAACCAAACTTAATGCTTGACACGTGTGTATTTAATGGTATTTTGGAAATTTTAGTTAAATTTTATCAGGAAATGTGTCAAGATGATTGATTGCAAATTGCAACTTCCTTTAAAAAGGTAATTTCTGTATAAATTAGACTTTGAAGGTGGTTTTCATATAATCATCGTATCTCTTAAACTTATTTACTTATTTATTGCAGCACATACTGTAAGCCAGCGGAAAGCTCCCTCACGGACTTTCTTGCCGCCTCTCAATAATCTCATCTCTGATTTTATTTTATTTTTTTCTATTTTTATTCATTTCTTATGATTCCATCAATTGAGTTGACTTTTTGTCAATACCAAAACGCACAGATATGTCAATAAAATATAACCGGGTCTCTCATTTATCTGGGATCCGTCCCGTTCACATCGTTAAGCCGACTGTTGTATTCGAAAGCCCAGCTCGAACTTATCGAAGGCCATGCCACCGCAAACATCATCAAACCCAAACCCCTACCTCAGTAAACCTCAAAGTTTGACTTTTTCTTTTCCCCCCACCCCATTTTAATGACCCCCTTTTTTTTATTTTTGAGGTTTCTTCACATCTTGTGTCTATTAACTGTCAATTTTTTAGTTTGTGTAAATCCAAAACCCTCCATTTATTTATCGAAATGCGCCTCATTTATTGGTAACCCGAAGCCCAGCTTATAGGTGGGAATCCCCATTTAGCGAAGCCCACTTATTTCTGAACCCCAATTTTTATAAAGTGTTTTAGCATAAAAACCCAAGTTAGTGTTTTGTCCATTTGAGTAACCAAAGCCCACTTTTTTCGAAATTTCCCTTTTTAAGTAATAACTGAAGCCCACTTTTTTCGAAATTTTTTTTTGCTGCTTTCTCAATGAAATTGATATATCTGTTTAATTAGTTTAACTTATATTTCTAGCTATTACTTCGCATAGTGGAATTAAATTGGCATTGTAACAAAGAAGACATAAAAACTACAGATTTTTTATAAATAATACCATCATCCTTACAATAGTACCGTCTCACTGAACATATTTAAAAATAAGACAAAAAGAATACAAATTAATAATATCTCTGTCTTTATTCTCCCTTATAAATCTTCATCCCGAAACTACAAATAAATAATATTTAAAAAAGAAGAAAGCTCTGCTCACACGTACGCCAGGTACTCCAGGATGCCAAAGATAACCATAATCTCCAAGCAATATAAGATTCATGAACTCATAAATGTAAAAGTCCTGATGCTTAGAAACCAAACTGCAACAAGTCTCATAATAGAGTTTCAATACCGACGTCAGCGGGTTCAAGTCTTGATTCCAGCGGTATATATTCCCAGGTTTTAGGAGATATTAGGCGCGTCGTCGAGAGACCCACGTCTCCCTGCGGTTTTTAGTAGGCCAAGTTCAGACCTTCCATTCTTTCTTGAAGTGTAATAAACCAATCGAAAACTATATATATTATTTTGTCTCTGGAACTCAAGTAGAATTACACACTGCAAATGCTTTTCTTCTTTGCGTGCAGTTGATTCGGGGTTTTTTTTTTTTTTTATAAAAGCAGAAGGATAAACTCATGTTAAACGGAAATAACTTCTTGAAGCATCATATTTGGGTGTTGCCACAGTGACCCAAATAGGGGACCGAAGACATGGGACATGTGAGGTGTCACCATCCGGTTGCATGATGCACTGTTTTACTTTTCATGAACAGTGCATCATGCAACCGAATGGTGACACCTCACATGTCTCATGTCTTGGGTCCCCTATTTGGGTCCCTGAGGCATTAATGATATAAGTTTACCTTATTTTGGAACCGAGATGTATCGTTTCCACCACCAACCAAATTTCCTCTAGCCCCTCAGTTCTCCTCTGTTCTTGGAACCAAATCCTCAGCTTCCGCTTCCTCCCATTCCTCCTCCACATTCCTGGCTCCTGACCCACTCCCTCGAAATACCCAACATACAGAGGACGCGTCGTCTCTGACAGAAAACAGGACAGTTCAATCCCAACATTTTCTCTCGTATGAAGATTTATACATTACAAATAACTTTGTCCATGTAAAAAAAACCTACGTACCTGGTTCACTCTGATCATTATGTCGAGGTTCAGCGCGCAGTGGCCTCGTGATCGAGGGAGTGGGACTCATAGCCCATCCTTCAAGATAGATGTTCCACGAACTTTCTGACGAGCTCTCAATCGAGAGGCCCGTCAATTTATTAGAAGAATCAGCTGAACCCTTGATGAGGGTTTCTGATTCTTCCATATTCTCGACTTGCTCGCCAATTTTACAGTCTACCGTCGCGATGGAAAAGCGCGACAAATGCCAAAACCCCTTGGGAAAGTTTTGTGAGAGTAGAACCAGATTGATGGTTAGAGATTCTGAACCAGATCAAGGGGGAAAAAAACAGAGGAAATGTTTGAGAAGGAGAGTGAGAGGAAAGAAAGGTTTGGAACTGATATGTGAATCAAAAAACAATTAAAAATAAATAAATAAATAAAAGCCTATCGAATAAGACTTTCCTACATCTAATTTGCAATAGAAATTAAGCATCTAACGAGGCGCAAAGCTATTTGAGCACAGGTGTTTATATATAGCTGAAGGCTGGCCTATGTGCATGGATGATGATAATAACAAAACATGGATCCATGTGCATGAACTTATTTTTGTTATATTCTGAAAGAAATAATTTAGTACATTCTCTTTTGACACGTCCAAATACGATGCATGAATTTCTAAATGTAATTTTGCTCCCTTGAATGAATAATAATCTGTTTGAAAATTGGCTTTTTTCGAATTCTTTTTCTCAAAACGTTAACTTTATTTAGTAAAAAAAGAAAAAAAATCCTTCCTCTATATTCATCCTCCTGCTCTAGATGAATGTATATTTGTTGCTATTTTGTTGGCCCAAAATCTGGCCCGTTACCAAAAGGCCCAGTTCCCCATAATATTTGCCCTAGCCCATCTCTAAACCTCTCCTCCTACCCGATGGTACTCAACCCTCAGTCGGCAACCCCTTCTCATCCCTGTGTCCTGTTGGCTGCCGCTTTGAGTCCCATCTCCCATCCCTATAGGTCGGCTCCTACCATTCGAAACCCTAGGCTTTCTCTCCTGTGTCGGCTGCCCCCTTCTCTATTTAAGTCGAAGGGCTGGTAGTAGCTCGAGGAGGGAAGAAGCAGCGAGAGTGAAAAGAACCCCTGTGAGCTTTGTGCTCTAGCTTTGTGCTCTCTGGAGCTTTGTGCGATCCTCTCCTTCTGTGAGCTTTTCCCGTCCATCGCTTTGTGCGATCCCTTCACCCTTTGTGAGTGATTGAGGAGAGAACCAGTGGCGAGTTCCCCTTTTGTCTTGGTGGTGCACAGGAGAGGAGAACAGGAACAGATTAAGTAGGCTTCTGAGCCAAACATCGACGACAACCATCACACAACAATATTGATATGTATATTAAAGGAACAAAAGAAAAAGGAGTATTTTGGGTGATCTTGTTTGGGGCTTAGTTTTCAAACAAGCGAAATTGATCCGCGCTACGCCGCTGCATTAGTTTGACAAAAATAATAATTATGAATTTTGTTTAAAAATACGTCGTGAATCTAGCTACGTATAAAATATATATATAGAAAATTATAATACCAATACGTAACAACTTGCAACGTGTGACAGATTACTGCGATACAAGTACGGAAAGAGCCTTCGAGGATTAACAAATTCTCCATTACTTCATCCATTAACTTTATTGTTTTCGTCATATATATGAAAAGTTGTATACCATTTGCAACTTTATTGTTTCTATGCTCTATTTTCGGTGCAAATACTTGCAACCTGTACTGATGCAATTTATCAAGTTGGCTGCAGGCTTTCAATGATGAAGACTATAAAGGCTGTTCTCCTTTAAAGCAAAGAATTGTCAATTGCTGGTTTCATTTGAGTAGAAAAGAGCCTGTCTTCATGCACTTGAACCAAAATAGAGAGATTATCTTATTTTATACAAGCAATAGTTCTTATGTGGTGGCATTTCTACCATAGTACACAATAATATCCCTTTTGAAATGGGATATATAGAAGTGGGCTCCTTTTTTAAGTGTGGTTATAACTTCAATTATAACCCAATAATATTCTCATTTTTGGGTCAGAAAGTCTTAATCATTTACTGGTTCTGTTAAAAAAAAGGGAAAGGAAACTCCTACCTGGAAAATGAAACTACATCTCTTATTGGATTTGTCTTTTTTTTTGTGGGTTTTTAGATGCTGCACGAAAGGTATGTGAATTGAAAAACCAATTGTAATTAACATGATAAACTAGAGAAAGATGTATTAAATTGTCCCCTCAAGGCAACCTTTCTATTAAAAAAATCATCGTAATATTCCAACAAATATGATAGTATCTGCGCAGACTACGCTGAGATAAAATCCTATAGCACTAGGAAAGCAAAAACACTGTAATGTAAAAACTTGAATTGTTGTCAAATTTTGTTATTATAAAACCCAAAAATGATAGCAAGATTATATAATCTTAATTTGAATATCTAAACATAATTAGAGACAAGGATTGAGTTTTTCCATCAGCGTCCTTGTTGAGTTCAAATTAAGTGTGGCAATTATAGAAATCAGATCGGATATCGGAAATGTTCACAGCTCTGAAGACTCGATCCTATTAGGACTGGATTAGGACAAATTTTTAAAGCATCCCATTTAAACATTTATTCACAAAAATCGACTCTCTTTATATTTATTTACAGATTTGGACTTAGTTTCAGCCACGTTATCAGCTTGAGCTGAAACTGGAACAATTTTAAAAAAAAACAAAGGTTTTATTTAATTAAATGGACTTGCAACCTCGCTTAATTAGTATATGAATAATTAAGTTTTAAATTTAAATGGAGTTCGCAATCCATTTATAAAACAGAGTTGCTATAGTCAAAATGTTGAAACACCACAAAGTTGCAGGGGTTGACACCACCTGCAATGTTTTAGTTAATAATGGCTCTCCTTCTTTCTGGCTTTGTAGAAGATTCTGTTTAATTAGAAATCTTTATTATTATTATTATTTTTAAAGCGAACCACTTTCAGCTAGCGTTGTTGATGGGCTACGTCTAGATTGAATTTTGAAATAAACGTAAAATGGGTCATTTTTTGTGAATAAATATTTAAGTAGGATTATTTCAAGGATAAATTTTTATTTTAGACCTCTTTAGAAAAATATTTGCAAAAATCAACATATTTCGAAAATGTTCGCCAATTTCAACTCAGTTTTAGCTGGTTGGTTGAAACTGAGTCGAAATTGACAAAAAATGTTTACAAATTTCACGGGATTTGAAATAATCCTACTTAAGAAAGAACCCCCACTATTTTGTTTCTTATTATAGTGCCATAATAGAAGCAAACTTATAATACACCTAATCTTTTTCCACTATCGATAGCTTGAAATACAACCTGAAAATTGTAGAGGAAACAATTATAGTGTCGTCAGATGTATGATATGTTTTATTTTAGACTGCATTCATTTATAAAATATAGTTTTCGCACGATATCGCATCATTAGTCAGGTGCGACTAATTACACGGGAGTGGTAGCGCCGTGTGTTTTGATTTAGCGACTGTGCCAATTGCCAAAGAAAAATTCTGTAAGGACCCAAAATATGAGACCAACAAGGAGGACATGTGAGGTGTCCCCCTCCTATTGCATAATGAGTTGGCCATCATTAATGATGGCCAACTCATTATGGAAGTGGGAAGTTGGGACTGTTCCTGATTTCAAGCATTTGGTGATGTCGGTAATTGGCGGTGAATGGAGAGGCTGAAGACGACGAGAAGGTGTGGGAGCGTGACGTATTTGGCAATGAGACCCAAAATATGGGACCAACAGAGGAGACATGTGAGGTGTCCCCCTCCTATTGCATAATGAGTTGGCCATCATTAATGATGGCCAACTCATTATGCAATAGGAGGGGGACACCTCACATGTCTCCTCTGTTGGTCCCATATTTTGGGTCTCATTGCCAAATACGTCACGCTCCCACACCTTCTCGTCGTCTTCAGCCTCTCCATTCACCGCCAATTACCGACATCACCAAATGCTTGAAATCAGGAACAGTCCCAACTTCCCACTTCCCAAACCTCCAGTATCTCTCCACCATCCAACAGATCTCAAATGACGTTATCAGATTCGAAACCCTAAAATGCCCACCCATCGACTTTATCGGGCTCTGAATCGAACTCCAATTCGCAGGGATCTGAACTTAGCTTACGAATTTGGTTGAGGGATGAGGAAGCCGGCACTCGAACATAGCACATAACCAGTTCAATCAGGAGATTAGATCGTTGTCGAAGAGGAGCAACTGAAAAAAAAAAAAATTAAATCAATTTTGCTAATTAAATAAATTACAAAACTGGTTTATTTTAAATTTTTCTCCAAATAAATGTAAGGAAGAGTAAACCAAATAAAACCAGTTTAACGTTTGTTTTTTAGTCTAGATAGCTTTGGTCCAGTTTTTCTCAAATTGAGTTCTTTCGAAATTGGACCAGGCTTAGATATTTGAACCTGGCCCACTTTTGAGAGATTCCCAGCATATATTAGTCCCTTAAATCTTTCAAATCTTAAAATTAGTCCATCAATCATTGAAATTGGTAGAGTTCACCAACCACATATTGCGTTAACTGTGAAATTATATTTTAGTTTTAAATTATTATGTTTGAAATCGATTTTATGACTCATGAATATCATTTTAAGTTGTAAACGCGCGGAATAAATTAGTGAATTATGACATAACCTATTTTATTTATTTAGACAACCCTTTGTCATGTAATATATACAATTAACGTGGAGCTTTTCTGCTTCTTTCATATCCAAATGAGTTGTTTTAGAGTCAAAGAGGGACAATGGAAAAAGTAGTACACCTGCAAATTAAAGAATTAGAAATTATGTAATCCGTCACGAACATCATCTGAATTCAATTCCATTCTATTAAATACATATCAAGAGAAGAAAATTAAAAGCAGATTTTAGAGTCCGAGGGGCAACGAACATTAGTACATCTGCAAATTAATTAAAAAATTATATAATCCATCAAAAAGTATCATCTAACTTAGATTCCATTCTATTAAATACATTTAGATTCCATTCTATTAAATACATTTAGATTCCATTCTATTAAATACATTTCAAGAGAAGAAAATTAAAAAGCAAATAAAATGTCTTTATTTTCACTCAAACTTTCAAATTTTTACTCAGATAAAAATTGAGATAAAAATTGAGAAGGGGAAAAAAACCCTTTCACAGGTACTCCATGATGCCACAATTCCAAAAGAGGGGAAAAATATCATCAAAGAAGACTAATCTTCTTAATTCAATATCTTCATTCATCTGCTTGCTTTACTTCCTTCCCCTTACTTGCTCTTCTCTTCATATGATAAATAATCCTCACTTTGCGCATAATGATGATGTAGCTTCTCCTCATCTCCTTACCTTCGCCTTTAATGGCTTCAATCTCATGAAACCAAACACCCTTTGCTCCTCATTCTCCTCCTGTAGCCCACGTTTTTGAAAGACCTGATGTAAAATAAATGCATCCTTTGCAATGAAAAGAAAGTTTTAAATTTTCAATCATAAGAGAAGAAAAGGAAAAAAAAAAGAATTGTTTTTAAAGAAAACTCGAGCATACCTATCTCTCTATAGATCGAGTTAACTCCTCACCGACGTTTCGTGTGAAGTAGTAGGAGGCAAGCTCTTCATATCCGCGACTCGGATGGAAATGGAATCTTGTGATGGTTGGAGCTCGGTGGAGATGAGATTGTAGCTGTAAAAGATATTTAAAAAAAAAAGGAGTTAGCCATAATCTAATGTAAAGTATTTTTACTTTTTTGCTAATGTTATAGTTTATTCATGATCAAAAAAAAAAAAATTGAAACTTGCATTAGGTTCATAGTGTCGTCGTTATATGTGAGATAAATAGAAATTTGGTACAATACATGAAAAATGAGTACAAAGAAAAGATTTTAGGTACCTCCAAATTACTCCGAAATCAAGATGGATGTTCCACGAACCATGAGGCAAGCTCTCTAGGAGGCCCGTTTGCTTTTTGGATGGACCAGTTAAACCCTCAATTAGGGCTCCTGGTGTTTCCATGTCACTCAAAATGTGATCTCAACTTGCTCACCACTCTTAATGCTTTCCATTGCAGTAGAACACTAAAAAAAATGTGATAATTGAAGGGTATAATGTATATTTTAGTCTGACAATACTGGGAAAAGTTTCAACAAATGTCACAAATTAAACGTATCTAGACTATAGAAATTATTTTATGATGAAAAAAAAATCAAAGAACTAAAAAAAAAGTGACGGACTTACTTAGATTTTGAAGTGGGAGATCAGAAGAAAAAGAAGAGATGCCTTTTGATGCTTAGACTAATATTAATGGATGAGAGGTATTGATAAAAAAGAAGAGCAGTGTGAAGTAGAGATTTCCCATACAGGGTTTTTCTACATCAATTGCAATAGCAAAGCATCTGATGAGGCACAATATTATTTGGCTAGCATAGAGCTAGTGTTTATATAGTTGAAGGTGAGTGTATATTCATTGAATATAACAAAGCATGGATTTAAATGCATGAACTTAATTTTTTATAAGTGGGAAGAATTAATTTAGTACATTCTCCTTTGATACAATATCAAAATATGAGGGATGAATTTATGCATGCAAGTTATTTCCATTCAATGAAGACGGTTTAAGGTAAAATAATAATAATAATATTAATAATAATTAACATGACTATTATCACATGCCTGGAGGATCTAGAGTTATTTTACTTGCTAATTTGATTGAGTAAAAAACGGCATAAGTCGCAAATTTCACAATTACCCGTTTTCTTAAACTCCTGAAAATACATTAACAGTTCAAACTTACAACAGGATGCAAGGGGTACATTTTCTACTCTTGTAGGTTTGTCATTAGTTTCACAAGTAAATACTTAGATCTTAATTTCATGCAAATGTATTTTCGCTTAAATTCATTTCTAAAATATATTATATTATATCCATTTTTAAAATGTATGTACGATAGAATTTTAAATCTTGATGGTTCTCATTATTTTATATCATCTCAGAGTCTTGCTATTATTATTTTATCATCATAGAATTTGGAATTTTTACTGAAAATTTTAAATTTCTTCTAAGATAAGAATGAGAAGAGTTTTAGAGAAATCGAAAAGGTCACCCAATGAATATTTGCAGGATTGATCTTCATCTATTATATCTGTATATACTACAACCATGGCATAGTGCAAGAAGCAAAAATAGGTCACATGTTTTTACAGCTATACACAAGTCAAAGATTCATACGCTAAGATCATGGAGGAAATCTCTAGCCCTGATTATGTTGTTCTTCTTCACACCCCCTCAAACTGAGCTAGGGTGGAGGCCACAAGCCCAGTTTGACCCGCAAAATTCAAAAATGAAGACTTTGCCAAGGGTTTAGTTAAAGCATTAGCAACTTGGTGATTATAAGGGCACATATCGAGTGACGAGAGAACGAAGAGCCACCTCTTTCCAAAAAAAAAATGATAATCAATTTCTATGTGGTTTGTTTGAGCATGAAGAATAGGATTGACTATGAGATGAAGAGCGGACATATTATCACAAAACAGTGTAGGTGCATTGTCCACTTGAACACCAATGTCTCGCAGAAGGAATGATAGCCAAGTTATTTCTCCTACTACACTGTTTTTTACCTTCTATTTTTACCCAGAGAGACATTTTGTCTTTTAAAAAACAGTAATCTAACCAGCTGGTAACCTTGATCTAAGATGCATAAATAGTTTGTGGTTTGCACTCCCAATATCCAAGCATTAAACCTATGTAGACCTACATCCATGTATAAGCTTAGAGCAACTTTAGGACCTAATTAGCGCTTAAAAATTAAAAATTTATAACAATATCGTTATGTATGACTTTGGAAGTAGACCTAGAATCTCTAAAGTTGTTTACGTACTAATTTGGTTAAATAAGACCTGCTACAAGTCGAAGAATTTAAACTTGGAAGCAAGTAAGAGAATCTGAAGTTGTCCCTTTGAGCTAAATATTGAATTTAGTAATCTCTAGGTTTCAAATTTTGCTCATTGTTTCTTCACCATAGACCAATCCAAAGATTCATGAAGATCCAAACATATCCCCATGGCATTCCTCCCCTTAAAAATAAGTTGATACTCATCATTTCTTCAGTATCTGGTTCCTTCGTCATTTGATAAAATACCATAGCTATGGCCGATAACAACTAGGAATGTAGAAGAATATTGAATATCCACAGACTATGAATATCCACGATTATGGGTATTAAATATTCATATCCAATCAGATATCGATGCATATACATGCATCATTTAATATTGGTTAAATTTTACAAAACCCCCCTGAATTTTGGAGGTGCACGAAGCTACCATCAACTATCAAAATAAGAGGAAACACCCCTTAAATTGTCTTACTAAATCCTCTGATTAACATTGTAGACGGTAAAAAATACCTCTGTGAGCTTGCAAGAAATTCACCTGAGTGATCAACTCGCCTGCACGAGTCAGAATCAACAGGAGATAGCGGAATTTCGCCTTTTACACAACTCGTCTGCCCGAGTCCAAAGACAAATCCGCCTGCAAACCTCAAGGCTGTCAAAACAGCTGGGTATCCGCTACCCCACGTGCCGGGGCAGGCTTTCCCATCCCTCTCGACCTGAGGGGGGAGAGCGCACAGCACTCCAGGACCGTCGAGTAGCCGTTCACAGTACGAGTGATCGGACAGGTGTCAGATCCACCTAAACGTTCATAAATACGGTTCACCTCACCCGTCCAGGTCGAGAGCTGGATCCGCCGGCACTCGGCAAGTTGGCCAGACCCACTCGAGTACTGTACACCTACTTCACCGCCTCTCCTGACCGGAAAGGAGAAGGCACCACGCTCCAAGCACGCTGAACGGCCACACACAGTACGAATGATCAGACAGACGCCAAATCAATCTACGAACTCATAAATGCAGTTCATTAATGCTGGTCAAATCCACTCGAATAGTGGGCTGCGGTTGCCTCACATACAAGGATGGGCATTCCCATTCTATGTGACACGACATAAAGCACAATCTCTCGAATGACTGTTCATAGTACCGAGAGGCGGCAAGACGTCTCTCAACAGGATATGGTCACATCCCATGATTCAAGGAGCGGCCACGCCATCTCTCCGCTATTTAGGAACTTCTTCACCTACGAAGAAGGGGTTTGCAGTTGAGTTCAGTTCAAGTGCAGTCCAGTGAGGCTCAGTTCAACTCAGCTTTTCTTCCAAGTCAAGAAGAAGAGATTCAGCTGTTTAGCTGTGCAAGCGATTCGCTCATAGTTGAACCAGCTGATTGAACCACTAGCTCTCGATCCCCAATACGATCGAAGCCAAGCTGTTTGCATAATCCTTGCATTACAGCACCACTGCCTAGTTCTGAGCTCCGATCGCCAGCGAACTAAGCAGACCCGAACTCCATCGACTCGAGCTTCTACTGCGTACTGAAGCTCTCCAGCAACCTCGATCGAACGGTCCAAGGGAAGCAGACTCGATGCAAGCATCGAGCGAAGCATCCTGTAGCCACCTAAAAGTCCCCACACTAAACAAAGAGGGCATTCCCTCTGCTTCTGTTGTAATTTCGATTCTTTACTTTGTAATAAGCTTTCTTATCAATACAAACGAAACTCTCTGTTTTCGGGAAATCCAAATTTACACCCTACAGAAGATGGCGACCACAGTGAGAGAAGCTGTTTCATCAAACGAAATGGTGGTGGCTCAATTCGATCAAGTTGCTGTTGGGACGACCGTGGAGTCCCTAGAGATTGAGTTTGACCAAGCTAAGTACGAAGAGTACTTGTCTTCTTCCTCCTCTGGTGGCGATGCGTCCCGCAAGCGCCACAGAGTCGTGCGCCAAGGCCGACCTCAAACGGTCAAAGCCTCTGCGCCTAAGGGTTCCCCCCGAGTTTCGTCAGGGGAACCCACTCCCTCACAATCGATCAAGGCCAAGTCAGGGATCGAGAGCAAGGAACAAGGGTCTGCCAAATGGGTCGCCAAGCGGTCCCAGCAGACACCTGCCCCGGAGGAAACGCCGGTTCGTTCCGACACCAACCACACTGCCGCAGCCCGCGGTGATGCTCTCCTCGCTGGAAGAGCTAGCCAACAGTGACGGCAAACACTCGTCAGACAGGAGGCCCAAACCTCCGTTTCCCACAATGGCCTGAATCATTGTACGGGCCCGAGAAACGCTAGACGAGAAGGCAAACTGCCCGACATCGGAAGGCCCTCCAAATCAGGAGCGCCAACCGAGGAAGGCAGGACCACCCGCTCAGGAGGACTTCGCTTCTCAGGTCACATCCCTGATGCGAATAAACCACACCGAGCGAGCGAACCTATCCTAACAGGCGAATCCTCAAAGGCTGGCGAGCCTCGTCATAACTCTTTGGCGGATAAACGTAAAGGCAAGGAAACAGACGGCACCTCGCAAGCCCGCTCGTCCAAACGAAGGGTTGAGACCCGCTTACGTACTGGAGTTCGCCCAAACGCGAAGACTCGCCAGTCAAGGCGAGATCGCCTAACTCCAGCACCAAAACATTCTACTCAACGTGCACCAGAGAGCACATCCAAAGATCTCTCGTGCACTCACCCAAGCAACCCTTCTGAGGCTGGGGGTTGTCGCCAACCACCCACAGGAGACCTCCGGAAATACCTAACTCGCAAACGCACTATACATGAGGCGAATCCTCAGTGCCACTACGAGAGGCTCATCCACACGGTCCTCGCCGACTGCCAATGCGTTGGAACGGCGAAACCTTCGGTGTTTGAGAGACTTTCTCAACAGTCCTCTTGACCAAAGCCTTCCCGTCGAAAGCGTCGTCACCAAAAAGGATGCGCTACCGACGACCTAGAGCTCCCGTCCGCCACAGTTAACATGACGGACAAGGGCAAGACAGTACTCTCCGACTCGCCAGACTCGGACTCCGTCCTGAGACCTAACTCTCGGTTCGCCCAGCGCCAACAAGAGGGTATATACCAGCGTACCCGTAGTCGCAGAGGGGCAAGCATCGGGTTCGATTACTCCACTTTAAACTCTCCTTCCTGCGGCGAAGACGAAGTTCACTCGGCGGCGGCCACGTCCCAAACCTCGCGCTCAAGCCAGG